CCACCTTGAAGAGGGTATAGAGCTGGTCCAGTGTTCCACGGCCAGGACGAAAACCGCATTGTTCCTCCTGAATCCGAGGTTCGACTATCGGTCGAATTCTCCTCTCCAGTACCCTGGCATAGACTTTCCCGGGGAGGCTGAGGAGTGTGATCCCCCTATAGTTGGAACACACCCTCCGGTTCCCCTTCTTGAAAAGAGGGACCACCACCCCGATCTGCCAGTACAGAGGCACTGTCCCCGACCGCCATGCGACGTTGCAGAGGCGTGTCAGCCAAGACAGCCCAACAACATCCAGCGACTTAAGGTACTCATTGTTTCCAATACACTGATTTATTTGTGACAAGCCACCACAATATTAACACTGACCGCCACACATTGATTTAAAATAGGTTAAATCTTATTTCAGTGTAGTGCCGTGCATAGCACATGTATTCGCTCAGCCCCTCCATGCACCGCTCTATTTCTCTTTCTCAGAACACAAACACATCACAGTGCGTGGCGGGTGCACCCCGCCTCTCGCCCAATGTCAGCTGGGATTGGCTCATATCCCCCCGCGACCCTATTCAGCAGTAAGCGATACTGATAATGGATGGATGGACACACACATGACAACCATGATGACGGACCCTCTGTGACTAGTTCCTCCTCTCCATTTTTTTTTTTTTTTTTAGCACATTGCTGTCAAGTCGTGGAGATCCAGCTCTTCTAATATGTTTTTAGCCAGCTATTAAGGCTAGCTAAGCTAACGTTAGAGTACAGCTGTTGGCGAAGTAGGCATGGATGTGTATGAACTGTTCTGCAAGGGGATAAAGTTACCTTGAATGTTTGTCCTTTAGTCCAGGGGAGTGGGAAGGCTGATCATTGTGATTGGGGATCCAATTGTTTTGTTTTGAATATCTATTGGTTTCAGCAGCAATAGAGGTCAGGAAGAGAAAGCTGACAAGACAGATGTAGAAGGAGGTCAGCAGCCGACATTCTGCTGCTGTGGGAGAGCAAGAGCAGGGATGGGTCAGATGAACAGCACTTTATCATTACTATATTTTTTAAAAATATTATGAAAGTGTGACCCATCCCTCACCACCACAATTAGAATGTAATTCTGTGGAAAACACTGTAATATTCCTCAGTCTGCTGCCCAAGTTTTGAAATCAAATACCTTTTAAGCAGTACAAAAGAAAGCAGGAAAGCACAGTTTATTTGATTTGATTTTTAAACTGGTCATTTTCAAGCTAAATTTGCACATCGCCAGTGTCATATCTTTCATTGTCAGTGGCAAAGATTATTACCAGCTTTTCCTTGCAGCACTGCCTCACCTTACGTCGGTGTGTATTGAGCCAATTTATCATTTGAAGTGAGACATGAGAAGAGCGCTTTTAATTGACATGCCTGACAGCCATGTCCATATGTTCAACTCAGGTTTTCATCAACTGCTTGCAGCAGCTGAGCACTAAGACAGATGAAGACATTGCTGCATCTCAGTAAGTTTTGGGGAGACTTTGTGCACTTATATTTTTGATTATACTGTGTTTGATTTTTAAATACATGTTCAAATCTCCCATGCATGCAGCAACATCGCAGTGGACTTGTCATCTCCAGATCGGTTTGCCAGCCTTCAAGAGGGCTCCAGTCCAACATCTGTAAGCGTGATGTTTTTTTATTATTTCCTTTAAACTGTTTGGGGTTAATACACCTGAAATCCCACATCTGGTATCAGCCAGCGTCACCACAGCGTGGGCTCTCTCCTTTACACAACTAGACAAACGCTTCTCACTCACTCAAACCACAAAATGCTGTCATGCTCTTTCCTGGTTGTGGACAAGTAGCATATATGTCCTCATTTCCTGTAACTTGTTTGAGATTTTAGTGAAGGGGGTTAAGTGCAGGGGAGGAGGAGGATGACGAGGAGGAAGAGCAGGTTGTAGGGTGCTTCTGGTAAAGGGAAGTGGAGCAAGGTGCAGACGGGGTTTCCCCAACCCCAAATAGGGGTAAGGCAGCCAGATTCGACTTGAGTGCAGCTGACCAGAATAAAGACTGGTGTCACTCAGGATATAAACTTGTGTTTGGTGAGTAGGTGGCAAGACAGACGCCTGCACATACAGACTAGGATGGTCCCTGGTCGCCATTACTAGATAGATATCACTTTATATGAGCCCGGTCAAGTCTGTCATATTGTATGTAGTCTGGCTTAAATAGAGTGTGAAAAACAAATGTCTTCTAATGACAGCATCATTTGTTGCTGTAAAAATGTAGGCTAATCATTCTGTCACTGTGTGTTCATGTTAGTTAGCTGGTATGCAGTTTGACTTTTGTGGGGATATTTTAGTAAGCAGCATTTAGAAAAGTAAGCGCATTTCTAAAAGACATTTTGGGAAAGTGAGGACATTTATTGTAGAAATACGGAGTCACACTTGAAATGAAATGTTAATTATTTTGTAAAGCCACCACATTATCTCTGCCTGAGGACCTGGTCCTCCACTTCTCCAAGGTGACAACTAGACCTCAGTGGCCAGTGAATTCTCACATGTATAAAAGTATGAATGTGTTCTTGTGTGTGTAGGAGCAGCGTCTTCTGATCGTCCTCAGTAACTGCCACTACCTGGAGAGACACACATTCCTGAACCTGGCCAATCACTTTGAGAAGCATGGCTTCACAGGCACAGAGAAGATCACACAAGTCAGTATCTTTCTTTATTTCAAATCAGCAGCTGTAAGGACTTTAGATAGGTGTCATACTGCTGATGAGAAGTGTGTTGTCATTGATAACTAAGCTTAGAGATGTTGAATGTCCCTTGAAAAAAGTAAAGGTCATTGTCTTGAAAGCTCAGTTCCACATTTTAACTTTTAACACAGATAAACACACACATACAAAGATGCACACACTGACTAATGGCTGAATCACAAAGCAGATGTGTTCCGTTGGTTTTCCAGTAAGAACAGATGAAAATCATTTCCTTTGAAACATTAATTTAGATTTACTTCTTTTGGCTTATTAATATTCTGAAAGCAAGGTATGTGTGACAGTTTGTCTAGATTTCAGTCATTAATTATTAACACAGCTATGAATATGACTGTCTTCCATCAGCCGTGTGCATTACTGTGTGGTACAGCTGTCCCATTACACGTTATCACTGCAAAACATTCTATACCACTATATTAAATTTGTACTGTAAAGTAAAAAATCTCAACATCTCTCCTTGTGAAGCGGCACTAAATCAGTCCGATGTTACGGTTTGGATAAGCAGTTAAAAACAAAAGCATCTCTTCTGGTACACAAGTACATATAAAGGTTGAACAATAATTTTAATAGGCCAATTATCATTTATTTACATTGAGTGGAATCATATTGTAGTGAATGAATCATATTCATTGCTTTACAAAAGTCTGTTTCCAAAGTAATGATGCTGGGCAAGTTGTAATAAACACCTATATGGATTCATAATTACCTGAGAGTTGAGAACATAAAAGTGGAACACACTTTATTACATTAAACATCTTTTGTTTTGTGGGGGTTTTTTTAAATAATTTGATATAGTGTGATTAATGCTGCTGTTTTGATTAATAATAAATTAAAATTACTTTTAATTTGATGCTTTTCCCTGTTTCATACCATTATATATCCAATATGTTTAGGTTTTCGTAAACAAGCAATTTGAGGATAATTGTTATTGGTGAGGGTTTTACATTCTTTTCTGACATTTTGTAAACTGGAAGGTAAACCTGACTAAGAATCTGCAGTAATGCTATCGGCTGCATGAGGTTGTACTCAGGGACAGTGGAGCTATGCTAATGTGAGTGGCGTGGACATGTTCATAGCGATATGCTGCGTTTCCAGCATCGGAACCTAGCAAGCGATACACCCCGTACATCCCTTAACCAACACAAAGCTTAGCCTCCAGTGATTACATGCTGACGTTAAGCAGGTATATTATTGACCATGTTCACCATCTTAATTTCATGTTTTACTGTACCACATGAACATTTGCTAATTAGCACAAAGCACAGATGAGGCTGATGGTAATGTCATTAATTTAGCAGGTGTTTGATTAAAAAAACAGAGTACAAATTACAATTAGATGGCAGAACTAGATGAAATGTCAAGTAATCACCAAAAAGATTCTAGTTTTACCCAGTTGTGAACTTTGTGCAGTTAGATGATGTGTCCTTGACCCACCAGGTGTGTGTGGACGCTGTGCGGGAGCTGGACAGAAAGCTATTTGAAGCCTATATCGAGAGGCGGGCCGACCCAATCGCAGGCTCGCTGGAGCCTGGCATCTATGCCGGATACTTTGACTGGAGAGACTGCCAAACACCGACAGGTACGGTACTGTGGAGGCACGGTCAGTGAAAAATTGTAGGTCTGTGCGCCAAGGTAAAATCTGGGATGCCAGGCAGAGACAAAACGGGGGAATTCACCCTCAGCAACCACTAACTGAGCCTAGTATAACGAGAGATGAGCCCCTAACAGCCCTGTGGGATGGGAATGCGAGATGTCTGGTCTGATCTGTGTTGTTGTGGTTCACATGTGTCATGTGTGAAGTACAGCTCTTTGATGGCTTACTGTAAACACTGCTGAGATCATTCTGCTGGTCCCCCCCAGAGTCTCATGGCCTTTGTGCCTTTGTGTGGCACTCTGGGTGTGCAGAAACGTGTGTGTGTGTGTGTGTGTGTGTGTGTGTGTGTGTGTGTGTGTGTGTGTGTGTGTGTTTGACTTGTTGCTCATGAGCTGTACCCCAAGCCCAGGTGAAACTTAAATGTGAATATGTGGTTTACCTTAGCACAGGATGTGAAGCAACATGTCACCATGTGTGTGAGTGAATTTTCAGATGGGCAGCAGCAGCTTATTATACAGTTTTAAAAGGCAGCATTGATTGAAAGTCAGGCCTTGCTTCGGTTTGTTCCTGCTGGTGTGTCTGTGTTCGAGCTGAATGTGAAAGAGGAACATTTTGGACACCAAACCACAGTTCTAGGATATGATACTTTCACTTGTTGCACTTTGTTGTGTGGGTGCTGCAAGGCATTAACAATCCAGTTTCAGTACTTTGCGTCTGTTGTTGTTTCACTGTTCCGTTTACTTATATTAGAGTTTATTCTTCCAGGCAGAGCATTAACTATGGCCTCTACTGTCTGGTGTCGTCCTCACATCACGGAGTTATGTTGTGTTGTTCAGCATGAAATAATCCTACATTGCTGCATTTTCAGCCAAATCCATCTGCATTGTTTTCTGAGTACAGCTTGTTGTTAGTCTATAGGCTCTAATATTCAGTAATAATAAAGCTAAAAGAAATTATCTTCTTACTTATTTGCATTTTAGTCCAAAAGCTGCAGGTCCAAAAACTATTAATCATTAAATCTTTAAAACTATGAAGATTTCACTGGACAGCCACTCACATTCTCTGTGTATCACTGTAAATACGGTACTATATTAGTGTCTAGGTAAATAAAACAATGCCACAGTGCTGGTTTGTACAGAGCGATTCCTTTAAGACCTGCCAAATAAAACTTGTTCTCCCTGAGCCACTACAAGTCCAGAAATCCTTTTAATCATGCAAAATGAGTTTATCACTGCATACAGTGATACTTCCTTCAGTACTTTTCTATTAGGAATTTAAAAAAACCATCCACAAACATTTCCATCTCACAACAGGGGCAGAAGGCTGAGTGTGCACATGTAAGGTTACACTATAAACCCTTAATACACAACTATAAGTCGTCTTTAAAGAGCGAAACACAGATCTGCCTTTCCACACTTTGCCAGTGCTCATTTTGTTACCCCACACCACTGTTGCTGAGTCTGGTGTGTAGCTGCATGGAGTTTGATATTTTCAGACACTGTTTCCTGCAGTTTATTGCTGTGTTTTTCTCCAACAGGTGTGAGGAACTACTTGAAAGAAGCTCTGGTCAACATCATCACAGTTCACGCTGAGGTACAAACACACCACGCACACTTCTCTCATTCTTTTGTCAAACCTGTATCATCATAGTTATGTTTTTCTTTTTTTCTCCTTTCACCGACTGTTTCTGTCTCAGGTCTTCACAGTCTCTAAAGATCTGGTTCCTCTAGTCTTATCTAAAATTGTTGAGTCCGTTGCGGACGAGATGTGTCGTCTTATGCAATGTGTGTCATCCTTCAGCAAAAATGGAGCCCTGCAGGTACATACTGACAAGCACACACAATTATAGGGCCTTTTACGACTCATAGTAAGACCCTGACTCATAAGTGGACCCCTACACTTGTTGGGAATTTACCTGTCGTTTCTGTTAATGCCATGTTTCAGTTTAAGCGACAACTGCTGACAGTTCATCAGGTCTGTTGTTCTTTTTTTGTAAACCTCACCCCACCCTGCATCATCCTCAGGCTCGCCTTGAAATCTGTGCTCTGAGAGATGCCATAGCCACATACCTGAACACTGACAGCAAGTAAGTGCAGCACACACTCACACTGACACACTGCCACAGATGGGAACTCGCATGCACAGCCAGTGATTTATGGTAGCGAATGTCACAGACATAAATCTTCGCAGTCTCACATCCCTCACAACAATCCCTATTTATGTTACAATGGTGGGTTCTCGACAGGAAGTGAAAGTAATCTGGTTCTGCTGTGTGCATGCACCACAGTGTGTGTGTGCACATGCATACACGACCATATGGGTAGGTCAGTGAGCACACCAGGACACTTGCATAGACTTACTCTGAACTGTACTTTGTGGTTCTTACTGTCAATAAATGTGTTAACTGTCTTATTCTAGCGAAAGCTTCAAACTGGCTTTGGACGCCCTGCCTCAATTACACAGCGGAGCTGATAAGAAGTGAGTGTCGTACTGCTCCGTGTCACTTGTTAGCGTTAGGTTCATCAACTTCCCATGATTGATGCGTGTCTGTGTCTTTCCTGCCAGGTTGCTGGAGGAGCTGCTGAACAAGTTTAAGAGCAGCATGCAGCTCCAGCTCACCTGCTTCCACCCGTCCTCTGTCCAGCCTGTCAAGAGATAAACTCACCCACTCTATCTACTACCGCACTGCACTGTAGTTGTTTCTTGTCTGTGTGGAGTCTTCTCGTGAACTTTATCTATATCCTTTCAGTTATCACTTTATTGTTTACTCATCACTTTGTTCAGTGTCACTTTCAATTTCTGCTTCACTGGATTAGACATAAATGCCTCTCCATCTAATTCTGTAGACACTAAATGAGTTGATTTCATTGTTACTGTGTAGGACAGTCCCAGTTATGTTGGTTATGCTAATCGCATACAGCCGCTCACGCAATAGACAGTGTGCAAGTGGGCAACTTTCTTGTTTCAAGAAGGTTCTGGATCAGCAGTGGTATGTGGGTCGTAAGAGGCCGGGTGTCCATTGCCTCTTCTCACACTCTAAAACTGTCCTGATGAATGTGGTGAAGCTGTAAAGTTGCTGCTGACGCTTTGTGCTGTGTCATCTCATCTGCCCAATAAAGTGCTGCAACTGCGTTACATGTGCGTTTTTTTAGATCAAATCTGGCATTTGTCAAAACGTGCCTGTTTCTGAGCCTTTGCCTGCAGGGCATGGTCATCATCAACAGATAGTGAAACCTTAAGTGTTCAAACTTCCCTTTGTTCTGAGCAGTTTTAGGGTGTCTTTGTTAATTTTGGCTTCAGACAGGCGCTTGTTAGATTCTGTTGGCTGCTTGTGACTTGCTGCACCGGACACACATTGAAGGCGCTCTTCATTTGCAATGAATGTGCGAGCTGCAGTTCACTATTTACAGATAGAAAACACAGTGCATACTTCCACAAAGGCCACTCAGTGCTCAGCACCTGGATCTGCATTAAAATTCGCAGAGTAAAAGTATAAAATCTTGCCGTTTGCTTGACGCCAACCATGTTTTGTGGGGAAAACCACATCTTTAGAAATGGCTGATTTGGGCAGATTTGCTGATTCAAGCACTGTCAACATCAAATATCAGTCACTCGATCTTTGGCCCTGGGCCTTGCTTTCCACCGAGTTTTGCAGAAATCGAATCAGTTTTTTCAGCAATCTTGTGAACAAACCAGCAGATAGAGAATATAATTCTCCTGCTCAAATCTCTCCTTGCTGTGACCCATTTACATATATTGGTAGTTTTCTTCCAAAGCAGTTTTCATCATGTATTCACCATAAATTCTGTACTCTGACCTTCATGTGTCACTTCACAGCTAGCGTGTACAAAAATAGTTCTGTATTATTGAAGACTGCGAGAAAAACATGTTTTGAAAAGTTATTACCACTGTATCTTGTAAGATGATGTGTTCCTCTGTCCAATATTGAATAAATCCAGCTTTGCAGTTTCATGATGTAGTTTATGGTATTCCTATATTGGGTTGTATAGGTTTTTTAAAAAATATATAACTAAAATTACTTGTTGCTGTTCAGATTTGTTGTCGTTCATCGACATGCAAATATATAGTTTAGTAAAAATGTCGTTCCTCTACTAGTAGTCATAGTACCTCTTTGGACATACAGAGGTGCTTCTCGTTTGTAGTTGAAAATGAATATGAAGCATCACAAACGGTTTTCTTGGCTGAGCTGTTACTGATTGGTTACATTGAACTGGTGCCAAGGATCTTGTGTCCAACCCTGTGAAATAGCTGCAAAGAGCTCACCTATGAGTGCTTTTAAACTTGTCTGACAGTCAGTGAGCCATTTTGCACTGGTGCAGCTTTGCAGACGGTTGGTTTGTTTGCACCATGGCTCTAATCAGCGGGTTAAGCCATTCATCTCTGGAGCTCCAGCTCACCACTTCACTCGGGCTCTCAGCTATGTCAGCATCTGGCTTTCAGGGAGGCGAGTGAGTGCAGGGTGTGTGCAGGGTGGGGAGGGTGTAGGCCGTTATTCGGGGCAGTTAACAGAAGAGGCTGTAGCTAAATCCAAGAGGAAGATGGTGACAACAGAAAGTGTGATTACGGTTGTGGGTGTAGGGACATACAGAGTGAGCGATACGGTTGTGGTAGGTCTAGGAGACAGACAACAGCACGCCCACAGCTCACATGAGACAGTTTGACAAGACATGAGGGGTTTATCTGAGGACAGCGTGGATGTGCTGCTGTGTTGTAGCAGGCACTGACCTGGTAAATCTAAGCCTTTGAATGTACAAACTACACCTGTCTCAGTTGTTGTCTTCATTCATTCTTTTTTCTGACTTGGTTTCCCATCTACATGTAGGGGAAAGCCATACAATGGTTGTTTTGATTGTCTGAGTTCTAAACTTAGCTCTCTGTCCTCCTACGGATTCATTCACAAAGTAAGTTCAAAGCTCAAAGCTTTATCTGTTCTCCACTGGCTCTGTGTTTACAGTAACAGAGGTGATAAGGGGGAGTTTTTTTATTTTTATTCACCAGTATTCTGTTCCATTCAGTCAAGATGACAAGACCCACAAAAGCACAAAGACTGTGGATCATTAAAAGAATGGAGAAATCTGACACATCAGAGAAAATGTGAACACCGCTCACCTTGATCACCGAATGGAGTAAGCTTCTCTGTTTTTCACACAGATGTTGTTATGCAGCTGGACTTAGAAAAAACAGCAGAAACAACCATGATTAGTAAGAAACAGATCTCACTGGAAATATGTGGCATTTGACAGGTTTGCCCCATATCGCTGACTCTAACCTCAGCTATGTTTGTTCATCTGCAGTACTTGTCAACAATTATAAAAACATATTTTACAGTATTACCACTGTGTTTTCATCCATTATCTGTTCATACACCTGCTTCCATTTATGGTTGCCCATAGCAGGAGGTATAGTTGCATTAATAAACAGAGCTGCTTACAGCAACATTACACTGTTATAAACTGTTCATGAAATGTTTACATGCTGCTTTAAATGCTAAATGAAGGGGCTTAAAGTAAAGCCCTTTTCTGTCGAGCAGTACCGTTCAGCTGTCATCATTGGTGCAGGCATGATTTAATATTAATGATCTTTTCTGTTAAAATGTAGCAGCTAGTTAGTGATTGTGAACAGATCAAATGACCATTGTCTGACTTGCTCAGTAATTCTTCCATCTGAAGCGGTGACCAAAGGTGTGCGACCTACCCGTTTTGAAAGGTACAAAACCAGATGACACTCAGCGAACTATCTGCTGCTGTGTTGTCAGTGCTGGAGAATTACTAAGTACATTTACTCAGTACTGAAGTACGACTGTGATGGATTTGTACTGGAGTATTTTATTTCCTGCTACTGCATACTTTGTCTTCAATACATTTCAGAAGCAAGTAGTGTACTTTTTACTGTACGACATGTGTTTGGTAACTTGGTTTACTTTTCATGCTCAGATAAATAAACCTAATTACAGTATAATCTAAGACTTTATTGGTCCCTAGTGGAAAATTCACAAGCTATCCAGCCATATGTAAAGTACTTATGAGGTAATTAATGTCAGCTGTAACATTAACATCTTTATGCTAATACTTAAATGAATGCAGTGTTTTTACACTGTGGTACTGCTATTTTTACTTAAGATGAGTACTTATTCCACCTACAAAAGAACAAGTCTGTCAGAAATGTTGCACATTTTCTTCATTTGAGTTAAAGTAATCTGGGTGTTCTACGAGAGCAGACCCTGAACAATGTGCAGTTCAACAAACTATCAGGAGCAATAAAAGGATGTTTTTAGTCATCTGTCTGGGTCACAGGGAACTTTACTACATATGCTTCAGTAAAATGGAAAAAATCTGTCACCAAAATGGCCCTAGAAATAATCGCTGGCGTAATAACCAGCGAAAGACTTAAAACCAGTGATGTTTGTTCCTTCTGTGTCTGTGGCCCTCAGCCCCAAGCACATTGGTTCCTACTGAAGATGCAAATAATTAAAAATGGTTTTCGAATATTCACTTTACATTTTGGACTCTAGTTTGTATTTGTGGTAGCAGGATGGGGTGTGTGACTGAGTAGTGTGTGCTTATGGTGAAGTAGTAACATCCAACAGAGTGGTCTGCTGAGGCGTTTCTAAGTTGTGTTTGGACGACAGTACAGACACGTCAGGCTTCAGTTGGGGCCTACTCATCAGTTCATGGCTGGTTTTGGTCTTTTAGTGCAATTTGTTGGCAATATTCCACATTTTTCTTGTTGTCATTTTCTCTTCTTTCAAATGCATATTCGTGTGCTGAGAAAGTGAATGATTAATCAGTGGGTCAATTGCTGGAATAATAATATACAGCAATTTTAATAATAATAAATTCCTGCATGCTTTTATGCTAAATAACAAACATTCACCAGTGAGAGCTTTCATATCTATGTTTGCTTGTTAATGCCTTAATAAATGTGATATTTTTACTCTATCTTCGTGGAAAACAAAAGATTTGAAGACATCGCCCTGGGTCCAAAGTAATTTTTTTACTATTAGATTTTATAGGCTTGAACATGAAGAAAAAATTTTAATGAAAATGATCCTTAGTTGAGGCTGTTTACAGAGCGTTAGCCCTGTGAGGCATCATTTTAAACTTTGAAGCCCTCCACCTGTTGAGGAGGAAGTGGGTAGTGGTTTTCAAAGTAAGTCTGGATTGTTTTTCAAAAGCAGCCTTATCAAGCGATTACGTCCTTCTTGTGCTTCACAAAAATTAGCTATTTCGTGGCAATGACAAATATATTTGTGGGTTTTCTTCTGATTGTTTTCCATGAAAGTGGAAACAAGACTAATCTGTGATTAGAAGCCAGGAAGGCTTTCTCCCCAACGCAGCACGGAAAGCGTGGCCAACCTCTTCCTCTCTCTCTTCCCCGTGTGATGTCATCTCATTGTTTATAACGAGGTGTTTGATTAACCAGCCTCATGCTGCTTATGAACCACACTTCCTGTTCATATGCACATGTTACCCATAGAGCTCACACACTTATGAACAGAGGGCAATACTCTGAAGCTATTTATTTGGTTTCTCAGATCTCATGACACTTAAATTCAAAAACACATGTAATTAAACTAGTTAATACAGAATTGAGTTTATAAAGCTTATCTCAAATCAATTCCCTGAGAGCCAGACAGTATTCATAATACAGTATACTAGGTGGTGGTGATAGTGTCTCCTGCCAACATAGAAATCATGCACAAGAAAAAAAAATGTTAAACATTGTTTTTATTATGGAATAATTTAACATTGTGGTAAATATGCTAATTTAGTTTCTTACAAAAATATGATGCAGCTGGAGCCAATGGCCTGTTAGCATAGCTTAGCATAAAGACTGGTAACGCAGGGAAACAGCTAGCCTGGCTGTGTCCAGAAGTAATAACTATGTCTCCCAGCACTTACAATGTTCATTCATGAACATGTTTTATCTTAAGATTCTGTAAGAAAGTGTAAAAATGACTATTGGGTACTTAACAGAGTGGCATTGTGCTGAAACAGCCCCACTCAGAACTTGCCATAAAACACAGAAATCTAATTTTTACAGTTAAAATGTCACAAAACATTGATTAGTGCTGGTGGGTTGATCGTTTTCTACCTTTCAGCATGCTGACTGTTACTCCGTCTTCCTAGTTTTTAAGCTAAGCTAAGATACCTAGCTGCTGGATGAACAGATATGAAAGGCATCAGCCTTCTCCTCCTACTGTCTGCAATAAAGTGAATAATTCCCACAATGTCAAACTGTTGTTATAGGCCATAGAATTTTAACTTAGTACAATCACCGAAGCTGTCAGTTTCTTTTGCATAGTAAGGAAAAAGACACATTTTTCACACACACACCCTCCCACACACACACACACAGAGCTACAGGTCAAACAGTAACTCTCTAAATGTCCATCATTTCATGTACAATACTGTCCAGGTTTGTCCTTTTGTTTCCTGGTCTCCTGTATGAAGGGTCATTGCTGCACCGTGAAGGTTTCAACAGTCACTTGAACCCACACAGTTCACTCCTGCAGGCTGCTGCTGTGATGGTGTGTGATGGCCCTCTGGTAATCCTCAGAGGAGTTTATGTGCTCCGTGACAACCGGGTGCTCGTAACTGCGGTACAAATGGCTGCCCGTCTGCTGGGCATAGTATTGGAGCTGCCTGGCAAACAGTGGCTCCACCTGCAGCACAGGAAGTCCAGACAGGTTAGTGGAAGGTGTTAAACTGTCACCACTGAGTTTCTATGAACTCTAACCAATATGCAAACATCAAAACTAATATTTTAAAGACTAAAAACGGCATTGTACTGATTTGACTTCCTTCTAAATATTAGGTTTTACTGAAGTCAAGATCTCGCAATCTGAATTGGTAGGAAGTACTGTGAGGAGAAATGAAGTACTGTAGAGCTCATTAAACATAAGTTTAATGAGAAAGTAGATGGGCCATCACCTGGACAGTGAGAGTCCGTCTCTGTCTCTGTGGGTCCAGACACTCATCCCCGAAACTCAGCAGGACCTGGAAACGAGGCAGCAGCCGACCATGGAGCCCGTAACTCTGGATCTCTGATTGTCAGGAAAGAAATAGGAGTGCATTACTATTAGCTCTGATTTCTAAAAACCAACTGAAAAGGCAGATTCAAATGAATTCAGATGAATTTCACTTGAAGTGCTGTGACCTTTGGGATGATTCGAATGGAAAGTCCTGGTCACACCATGTATGCAAATGCTATTAGCTGACAGTCTTACACAGCCGGGGCTTCTTGTGGGCGGGATGATGTGGATGTGTAGAAGTCATGTGACTAACACCTCATAGTGAAGTACTACTTAAAGGTTTTTGTGTACCACAGATGTTAAGTGATGTTGACTCTTGGGGGCTTTTGTTTCTGTTTGGTTTTGTTCTTAGATGGCATTAAACTGAGACTTACAGTAAATGAACTGTAGCTTTTTGTGAAAGACACCTTGTGTAGACAGACAAACCTATAGTCATCACTGCTGAATGACTGTAAGCTTAGCACCAGTTTGTGCTTCTCATGTATTACCTTTACATTTAAGTGACAGAACTAAGCATCAGTTTCACCTAAAAAAATCAATACACTGTGATCTTTGAAAACTCAAACCCTGTTGCCTAATCCAAAGATGCTAGCCAGAATACAGACACTACTTACATGGGTACATTTCCTCGCTCATTCTGTACAATGTGAGGAAAATCTTATCATGGCAGTAAGCACAACTGCAGTGTTATAATACAACTTGGTTTCAATAGATTACTATGCATTTATTTTTTGGAAGTTGGACGTAAAGTTACGCAAGGAGAGGCACAAACTGGGCATGAGTTAAGCCTTAGCTAGTACTGTTTCTCAGCCTACCAGCGTTTTCTTGTGTAAAGCTGAGACAATTAGTTGATTAATCGATAAGTTGTAGAGCGGTGCCTGCATCCTGAATGGTCAAGTACTGAAAGCTGGCATCCAACATCTGGTCAGACTGATTCTTTGATCATATATCTCCTGTTTTACACAACTCTTCTGCAATACACCATGCTTATGAAGGCAAGGCAGCCAAAAGTTGGTGTTGAAGAAAGCCTTGTTTCCTGGAGTAGAATTATGCCAGAAGCAATAAATGTTCCAGATCATCAATTGTGTATTGATTCTGAAACTGATCGTTATTTGCAGCCGTGCATCACCTGTCTCACCTGTGAGGTAGTCCTGTGTGTGGAGGAGCTTACAGGTGACCTCTCGCTCCAGCTTGTTGGGCTTGTCTCCGTATGGGGACAGTCCTCCCTGCCAGTACACTCTGCTCTGACACAGCCGCCGAGCGTAGAGTCCATCTGCGCCCATCCACAATAACACGCCCCTCTCCAGGGTGGATGGGGGACTCGGGGGACACTCATCTGCCCTCCTCTGGGCTGAGAGGCTGTCCACAGGCAGGGGGACCACCTCAGGACCTCCAGGCGGCAGGTAGTGCTTCTCCTCTGGGGAGCATGGAGTGATGTGGCAGCCCTCTGGACTGGAAGTGGTCACCTCCTGCATCACAGTGTCCCGGAAATATATAGTCACATGCAGGCGGAAGTCTGGATGGAGGAGGAAAGGATAGAGGTCAGAGGCCACTGAATAAGTTTTCTCCCATTCTGATTCAGGTTTGTGATTTTGTTTTGCTTCACATTATGTTAGCACTGTTTGTAGCAGTGTGTTACTAGATCAAATAATCCACAAAGAGTTTGCATTTTTCAAATAAGAATGTAAAACATTTTCTGCTTAAAGCTTCTCCATCATGACTGAAAACATCCAGTGATTTCATGAAATGACTGCAGTGTTTACCAAAGTACAAACGGACCACAGGCTGTTCTGCTGAGCTCCGGGGTGTTTTTACTCCTAGCTCAACAGACATGCAACAGCTTAGCTTTAAACTTCCTAAATGTACTTGTACCAAGGGTGCCACTTGGGTCTCAAACTATTTATGTGTGTTATGACATTACATCTGAGATGGAAATGAGCAAATGATTGTGTTGGCCTATTTGCTGCTGCATGTTTCTATAAAATGTGTGGTCTCTGGGCAGAGCAAACGGGTAAACCCGCCGATTTAGTCGTTTTGTTTTTATGTAGTTCATCTTTATGTTCCATACACCAGCCATAAATAATGGTGAAGTTGTGTCTGCAGTGCCAAAATAATTTATATAGCACTTAATCTGAAGCACTCCTAGTGCCTCCATCAGTCTTACCATTGGATTTTTTTAATGCCATCGTACAGCGCCATCCCTCCAAGTTTCGTTAAAGCTGCATTCATAGATTTCTGTCCAGTAGGGGGCAGTAAACAATCAAATCTAGCTAACAGATGCACAGCCACTGTACCTCCAGCCTTGTAACATTTTCATGTCTAATGTGTGAGTAAACAACTGGAGGTTTGACCATCCAGCAGACACCGACCAACATTAGCATTCATTCATCATGTTTCTAGTCACGTGGCGAATCGCCACCAACTCCAGAAAGACATCTCTGGCCCTTTGGCTGCTACATGTTTGACATTCTTCACCAGATGCTTTTTCTCTGCCTGTGTCTGTCTGGTACTGAGCAGGGTAGATATAATGGGTGTATCCACATGCCAGCCTACGGTTTTGATCTAATTGGTGAGTCGGAGCCATACAGGAAATGGAAGAAGCATGAATATAGCACCCCCACTGGGCCAATCTGTATATTTTTCAAACTTAGCAAAGAGTTCAGTCTTTTCCCAATATCCAAGTAGTTTGAAATAGACTTTTTAAAGATGTCTACCTGAATGTAGGCAGTAAAAGTTAAATATAACATGTCTGTATCTAAACAAAGCATCACTGTGTACACATACACATTATGTAAATATGTATTGGCTGCTTTGTCTGTGTACTACACTCTCAGCTAAACAAGAGAGGTCAGTTGAGGAAGTCATGTGGATCTACACTTGCCCTCCATCTGATTTCATAGTGTGCAAAGAAAAAAGTGAAATGAAAGTGTTGTTTGTACCTGGGAGCGCCTCCGCTGATCTGATGCTAGCATCCAGGGAGAAAGGTGAAGGCTGGCTGTCGGCGGGGCCATACGAGTAAATGGAAGCTCGGAGCTGGTATCCTGTACAGGAATACACAAGAGCTCAACACAAGCAGAGACGCACATGTGCAATAATAGAGCTGCCAAGGATGCTAATGCATGTATATGAAAAGAGACGGCCGTACCATTTTCTATGGATGCGCTCTGCCAGGGCAGGCTGCGGGTCGGACAGGGGCACTGAGTGAAGGGCAGCTCAGGCAGAGAGGCTTGCTCCTGGCAGTAGTCTCTCCAGCCACATTCTACTGGGGCCATGTACTGTGGCATCTGTGGGCACAAAAAGTCAGCTCAGCTCACAAAGTTACCATGAGCACATTGTATTCTCATGCCTCTCATATCAGTTCTCATGACAGATTTTCATGTTTCATAACCATGAGGTGAGCTGCAGAGCAGAATAAAATGATAGTGTCGCATGTCAAAATCTGTAAACTGCAGCTTTCTGTTGCAGACATATTAATATTCAATACAGTTGTCCTACAGAACTCCCTTGACCCCACTGGCACATCTATAAAAGCAGTTTAGTATATAGTAAATATAGCTGAAATATATTCCTGTTAAAGTGGAGGAGGCTTTGAAGCAGCTTTTAGAACATCATGCAGGGCATTTTGTATATATATTTAGTAATAAATATATATAAAATGCATGTGGGTCAGTAAATGAAATAAATAAAAAGTGTAAAGTATTTCAAACAAACTTAACAAAGTTGATGATTGGTTCAGATTTTATTACAGTGAGTGTGTATAGTCTTCTGTGTAATATCCTGGTACAAACACACATGACACCTAAATGATAATGCTATATGTTGCCAGAAATGATTAGTTTCTGACATGGTTCTCACACATTTCACATCTTCATCACCTTTAAATCTCAGTCATCAAAGATCCACAAATACTTAAAGTTCAGCATTCATACTCATGTAGCATCTGAGGTGACTCATGCATGCACAGTGTTTTCTCATCTAGTGCCTCTGCTGCACAGCTTCCTTGAGTCCACCCCACTCATTTTCATGTGTATGAAAATCACCTGAGTCTGCAGGGCAGGGTAGGAGGAGGGCACCTGATAGCTCATTGGACTGATAGGACTGTCCTCCTGTCGGGGTCCTAAATGCAACAGAAGGGTTTGCTTAAAACATTTACTTTTAACAAATAAGTCCATGACCTTAAGTGGGTTTGGGTGTTTGACTCTTCAAACGTTTCTCACTGCAATGAGACATCAGTGACCTTTATCAGTCACATACAGGTAGCGTTCAGAGAGTTTCCAAAGCTGGCTGATAAAAGTTGACTTTAACAACTGTTAATGACAAATAGCCTAAGTTAAAATGCACCTAATTTGTGCTACAGGCAATATTTTAAAAGCTGTATCATGAGATGTTTGACGTGGTACTGACTTTTCTTGGCGCCCTCGGGGATGATGCGGTAGACTTTGTACGGGTCCGAGATGTCCAGCTGGCTTCTCTCCACAAGTTCCTCAAAGTCGTTGCTCTTGTTGAGGGCGCAGCGGAGGCGCGTCTTCCAGGTCGGCGGGTCTGGCTTGTCGATCCCCTCACGAAACTTGCCTTTAAACAGCGCCCAGGCCTGCAGACAAGTCACCAGTAAAACTTGATCTAGGCTGTTATCGTTTTGCCTGAGAGGATCAGAGTCTCCACTCACTGCACTGCAGAGTAAGGTGGAGACATCTTTCCAAGGCATGGAGAATCATCAGACAGAAAATTAATCTGCAGCAATGTTGTTCATCATATAAATATATTCTGACAGGGAAAATGCCAAAGGTTTGCAACCTCCGGCTTCTTCTGTAAAGATGCCATGCTTTTGCTGCTTGGACAAAACAATGGTTTTAAAGAAGTCTCCTGGCTCTCAGTGCTTTTTCCGCATTTTTATACCCTAGCTACTATTTACAAATAATTAATGAAGACATAGGCCTGTTCTGTAGATTCACTTAAAATGAGCGGTTGTCGCAGCCCAGCCCATATTGTTACGTTACACGATGCATTAAAACGTATAAGTCAGACTCGATGATTATTAATCTTGTATAGCCTGGGTTATGAATACGGTGTCAAAAAACATCGTTAAAACATATAACAACTGTTTTATTTCTCATATTCTTCCTTTAAATCATTTCCTATTGCTAAAAGAACTGGAAACGACTTTTTCCCACTTTGTACATTACTTTTATTCTGAAAGTCGCATCTTTTATTCTGGCTGAACACCGAACGGCGCAGGTTTCTTACCTTGAAAAGCGCGGCATCCTCATCCCGGTTGTAGTCCTGCTTCCCGGCGTGTTTCCATGGTATCCTGAAGATGGTCCTCTCGTCGTTCTCCCACACCAGCCCGGGATATTTCCCGCAGTCCACCTGGTCGATGAGCCACTGGCGCAGCTTTCCGTTCCCGCTGCTTCCGGAGCCTCCGTAATCCACCTCAGGGTTCATCTCTGCCCAACAGATGCGCGCAACAACCCCACCGTTAGGTTCTATGTTCTGGTGCAATACTTTATTCTGTTAT